GAGGAGGCTAAGAATAATGGTAGTTTAGTAAATCTCTTATATTTATGTATGAGCTTGCAAAGGTTTATTAGTAGCTCTGTCTTACATGGTAAGTCCTCAACGAATGTTACATGTCTTTAACATTGCCTGATCTTTCGTAAACTTATTCGCAAGCAGGGGCTAGGGAAGGGTGATGTAGAATCTCCCTTCTACGAGAATTTCTTATCAAGCTGGTGACCCCTCCTGCCATGAGGACAGAGATGGCTTTAGTCTTGGGGTGACCTGGGCCAGATTACAGACTCGAAAAGAGGTTCTCAGTGTGCCAACCTGGACCCACCCAGAGGGCCCTGGGGGACTTCCTCACAGCTGTAAGCTGCCCTGAGCTGTCTTCTGTCTGAGGTGGTAGAACTGGGACCGTGTCGGGGCCCCACAGTCACACTGCTCACAAGTGGCAGTGTGGTGGGTCCTGGGGACCGCTTCCGTCCTTCCTCGGGGCCACGCCGGCCATGAGCGTCGCTCGCCTCCCACGCTCAGTCACTGAGGGCTGATCACACGCAAGGCCTATGATGGGAGCTGGGGATGCCACCCACTCACGACACCTACAGCCTCCTGGAGGGCGAGGAATACGTAACTGGACATACTGGACACCTAGAACAGGGGCGACGGGAGGCAAGTTCTCAGGAAAAGCCTCTTAGAGGAAAGAGGTGACACTTCAGCTGCAACGTGGAGTTCCTGAGAGCAGGGGGCTGGCAGCGAGGGGTGCTGTGGAGGACAGCCACCCTAGGCAAAAGGAGGAGGCGGGACAAGCAGAGGAGGCAGCAGCCAAGGGATGAGACTGCGAAGGTCAGAAGGAGCCGAATCGTGGGCAGGCCTGGCCTCCCGCTTTGTGCTCTGGGTATGGCATGCCACAGCGGCTCTGCACCGAGAGAATGACATAAGCCGATCTTCATTCTTCAACTTCACTGTTACCGTGTGGGAGAGGAACAGTATGGGGGAAGAGGGGAGGCATGAGGCATGTTGGGTAATTACAGCCTGCTCCGGCAAGTGTTCAAGGAGGCGTTACTAAAGTGATAGCCACGCAGTGAAATGCGGGGGGACAGACAAGGCGGCGTCTACAGAACCTTCTGATTCGGTGAGTAGGGGGAGGTGGCGGAAGAGGATAAAGTTCCTGTATCTGGCGTGGTGGCTGGGACGGGGGTGACACTCTCCACTGAGAAAGAGGATACCAGAGGATGCGGCAGGTGGGGTATTTTCCAAGACAGCCACGTCAAGTTCCCCACTACGCGATGTCACGTTAACATACCCCTACCGAAAAGTGAGGTGTACGTTCCTTCGTCTTAAATCTCTGTGGGCTGCGACTAGGGCAGAGCTGACAGAGGTCACAAAAGAGATTACAGCTTCCACCCGGTCCTCTTAAGATGCCCACACCAGCCGTCATGCCGTGAGGCGAACACACAATGGCCAGAGGCTCCCCTGGGAGAGGGCAGGCAGGGATCAGGGGCTTGGGCAGAGGGTGAGGAGAAGGGGCTCAGGTCTCCCGCAAGACTTCCAAGGATACTCAGAAGTGCAAGGGTCCCTCCACTGCTGTCCCGTGGAATCTCAGAAGCAGCCGGCTCACATGAGGGAGCTGCGTGATTCAACACCAGCTAGTAAACGCTCTTCTTGCCTCTGCCCATCCAGCCTGGAAAGCCCCTTCCTGCTCCCAGTTCACAGGGATCCCTCTTGTTAATGTATGTCTCTATCTTGAAATCCTTTCTCGGACTTTTCATGCACACTTTTCATTGCTCTCCAAGAAGCCCCATCTTTATAGCCGAAAGTTCTTCATTTAAAAGTATCAGAAAATGTTAATTTGAAACTATTTGAAATTACTCAAAGGAAAACCTTTTATTTCACATGCCCGCTGCAACTTTCGAGATTTAAAACAAAAGCAGTAACGAAACTCTGTCTAACCTGCTGGTGGGAGTACAAACTGACATCATCTTTCTGGAGGGCGATTCGATGACATTTTCTACATCCATCTAGGATATGGGAAGTCACAACAGACTGTCACTCTCACCCTAACGATGAGGGAACAAATGAGACAAGCTTTAAAAGATGGGTTTCAAAGCCCATCAGATAAATTCCAGAACGGAGCAGCCACTCCTCAGAGACAAAAGACCCACGGCCCCTTCCGTCCCTGCAGAGGTACAGGAAGGAAAGCGAGCTCACTCCACACAGGAATGAGGAGAAAACCACCATTAGCAGCCACACAAGGGCTGGTGCGATGGATTCGCAGGCTGGGAGCCTCGTCAGAGAGCACGTCAGCACCCAGCACCCGCCCTCAAGGACCCTCACACGTGCGCGTATAGCACCCCAAACCTGGAGGTGGGGCACAGAGCTGTGCGACATGCCCGAGGCACACAGGGTCTTCTGCAAGCGGGTTCACCAAAGTCTGAGGACAGAGCGGGAGCTGAGCCCAGTTTCTCTGAAGCCGATGGGGCCTTCGCTAAGTGCGCCTCAGCAGCCCACTGCAGACTGGAGGCGGGGAGCCAGGGCAGAGAGGACCCGTCCGAAATGGCAGGTGGGCTGTCAAGCACACAGCTCCCCCAGGAGGCCCAGCTGGCAGCAAGACTGGACCAGAGACCTCTGGAGTCTCGCCAGGGCTCAGACCTCACAGCTGCTGAAGGGAGGCGTTTGGAACCAGTGGTCACCTAATTCTACCTGAAACTGCAACCACGTCCACACACATCTCAACCTAGAGATTAAACCGAGCCGGCCCATCTCCCCGGAAGCCGGAGAGAGGAAGGGGCATTCCTTTGGCTGGTGGTGAATATTCGTTACTGCTGTCTCTACTGCTTTTTACCCAAATGTCTGGTCTTAAATCTTTTTAAAATTGCAAGACAAGTGGAATAAGAAAAGGCGACCTAATTGAGAGCAAAGGCAGTCATCAGAAGACCCACAGAGAGAGCAGGTGTGGAGACGAACAGGTATGTAAACCAAGAATGACAGATATGTTAAAGAGCTTGGACGTAAACTGAAGACTTCACTTAACTATAATGTACCAACAACGGCTCACAGACGGTACAAATGCACCTTGCTGAAGCAGGACGTTAACGACCCAGGGAACCAGGGCCGGGGCGGAAAGGGGCGGGTGGACCCTCCCCTGTGCCGCAGCTCCATTTTTCTGTGAGCCTATAACAACTTAGAAAATAAAGTGTATCGATTAAGGAGAAACAAAGTAGCTAACGTCCATGGATTCTAGACTCATAGTGTCTGGGTTCAAATCACGACCCCGCCACTTAACAACTATGCACTTCTGGGCAAGTGACTTAATCAACCTGTGTCTCAGTGTCCCCATTAATAAAAGAGGGACAGACAATAATAGAACCTATGTCATTGCTTCATTGCGAGAATTAAATGACATGTGAACCCTTCGTACAGAGTCTGGGACCTACTAAATATACGGAAGGAACATCTACTGTTAGCATTATTTGCTCACGAATACTCACTTGAAGAAGGTCTGAACATGTTTTCGAAATCGCTTCTCGAATAGACTCTACAGGGTGAAGAATGGGGTCTCGAATTTGTGCATTCTGCTCTGTGAGGAGACGAAGTGTGACATTCTGGTAAAACCGCCGTTTTGCACATTACATCCCTGTGATGTAAAAGAAAACAGATTACGTTATCTTCAAGCGCACAGTACAAGCGCGGCCAGCCTCCTACCTGTTCCTTTTCTGAAAGGACAGAGGGAGTCTGTGAAAATGCTGCTGGTGATGACCTTCTTGCCAGCGTCTCAGAGACTGTTCTTGGGGCGAACATAGAATGGTGAGTTTAGACTCCTTGTTTCTAGCAGATCCAATAACCTTCAAAACTGAAAAAATAAAGGAGCTTTTGGACAGGAAAATCCACCTGCATCTCAACTATCGCACACTTATTTCCTTGCTGAGCAGCAGGGTAGAGGCTGGATTCCCTGGGCTCTCCTGATGTGCCTCACTGTATATCTGACACACGGTCAGAGGCAGAGCTGGGGAAGATGGTGGACTGAGGACCTCCGAAAATCCTCTCCTCCACAAAAGCAACGAGAACACTGGCAAAAACTTTCACAATCAACCGTGTCAGAACTCTGGAAATTAATCAAAGGTTTGCAGCAAGCTAGGGAGCATGAATGCATGAAAGATGGTGGGCTCTCTGTATGAACACCAACTTTTGTAGCATTTCAACGTTCTCTATTCGCATCTCCTCCCGCCCCCAAATCTGCAGTAGCCTTGAAAACAAAAGCCTGCGATCACTGTGAAAACCCAACAGGCCGACAGCCACTAGAAAGAGCAGGAGAGAGCTGAGACTCCTTCAAAACTCCACTACCAGAGGATGGTCATGTGTGACCTGCCCGATGGTTCAGAGAAACCCACTCACAGGCTGTCTTGTTTGAACCAATCAGAGCTTGCGAAGGAGAACAGGCTATCGTCAAAAGGCATTTGTTGAAAAAATCAGAGGCAATTGTTGTTTAAAATCTTAGCTTCCTGGGCAGGTGGATAACAGCTGTAGCAAATAACAGATGAACTAAAAAGTTTAGAGAGAAAAGTTGGGGAATGAGATGTCCATAGGGGCTTTGAGAAGCTCCCACATATTCCTGGGAATCTAGACAGCGACTCGCATATGTAGGGCTGTGAGCTCTCACCTCTGGCTGACCTTGAGGCTCTGGTCAAGGTCACAAGCAGGAAGTGAAGGCTACAGTAGAACTGTAAACTTCCTGGCAGTGTGTTGAAGGAATGCTCCAATACACACAAGGAGCCCCTCAGCAGAGATCAGAAGACTATTGTTTCCAGGCATTTAAGGAAATCTCTGTCCGATCATGAGCTGATTACTAAGATAACCAATCAGACTTCAGTGGCCATACATGACAAAGAATACAGACTTTACAAAGTTAATTTAGAAAAGTCACTAAACAACAAAACATGATTTCAAGAATTGCCACATTATGAAAATGTCTAGTTTTCAGCAAAAGATTTATGAGACACACCAAAAAAGAAACAAACAAACAAACAAACAAACAAAGAAGGAAAGAAAGAAAGAAAGAAAGAAAGAAAGAAAGAAAGAAAGAAAGACAGTCAGACAGACAGACCCATACATACTTATCTTCAGAAACACGCAAGCAAGAAAGAAGTGAAACGAAATATTTAAACTGTTGAAAGGAAAAGATACCAATCTAAAACTCTGTACCCAGCAAAATTATCTTTCAAAAGTTAAAGACAAATAAAGACTTTATTAGATAAACAAAAATTGAGGGAATCTGTCGCCAGCACTCCTGCTTGCAAAAAATCTTATTAAAATGAATTCTTCAGAAAGAAAGAAAAATCACATGGGTCAAGAACTCAAAACTATATAAAGAAAGGAAGAGCATTAGAGAAATAATGAATGAAGGTAAAATAAACATATACATACCTAATAACAGAGTCCCAATATACATGAAGAAAAAGACACACTAACAATAATAGCTGGAGACTTCAATATCCATTTTTAATAATGGATAGACCAACTAGACAAAAGGTTGACAAGGAAATAGACGACTTGAACAATACTATAAACCAACTAGACCTAATAGACATCTAAAGAATGCTCTACTTCACGATAGCAGAAAACACATTCTTCTCAAGTGTACGTGGAACATCTTCCAGGATAGATCATATGTAAAGAGATAAAACAAGTCTCAATAAATTTTAAAAAGTTGAAATCATCAATATATGTTCTCTAACCACACTAGAATGAAATTAGAAATCAATAACAGGAAGAAATCGGGTAATTCACAAATATGTAGAAATTCAACAATACACTCCTAAATAACAAATGGGTCAAAGAAAAAAATCACAAGAGAGATTAGCGAATACATTTATATGAATGAAAAGAAAGGCACAACATTATTAAAACTTATGAGATGCAGATAAAGCACTGCTGAGAGGACGATTTATAGCTGTTAATGCCTATATTAAAAAAGAAGAAAATCTCAAATTAACGACTTGACCATCTTCTTTAAAAAACTAGAAAAATAACCAATTAAACCCAGGGAGAATGAAGGAACTAATAAAGATTAGAACAGAAATAAAATTGATAATAAAAAACAGAGGATACCAATAAAAAAAAAAGTTGGTTCTTTGAAAGACTGGCAAAACTGACAGATTTTTAGCTAGCTTGACCCCTCTCTCAAAAAAAGAGAGCAAAATACCGAAATTATTTAAATCACGAATAATAGGGAGGGCATTATTACTGACCTTACAAAAACAAAATGGATTATAAGGTAATAGTAATTGTATGCCAATAAATTAGATCACTTACATGAAATGGAAAAATTCTTAGAAAGACACAAGCTACTGAAACTGAAAGAAGGAAAAAAAGACTCTAAGTAGACTTTTAACGAACAAGGAGATTTAATTAATAATCAAAAAACTTACTGGAAAAAAGCCTAGGACCAGGTGGGTTCACTGGTGAATTCTACTGAACATTTAAAGAATAATTAAAACCGATTCTTCCTAAAAATGAGAGGAGGGAACACTTCCCAACACATTCTAAGTGGTCAGTATTACCCTGATAACAAACCAAACAAAGATATCTAAGAAAAGAAAGCTAAAGACCAATATTCCTTATGAATATAGGAAAAATCCTCAACAAAATACTAACTGCATCCAGCAACAAACAATAAGAATTAGACAGCATGACCAAGTGAGACTTACACCAGGAATACAAGGGTGGCTGAACACAAGTCAGTCAATGTAACGTTACTAGAATCAAGAAAAAAGTATCATCTCAATGAATGCAGAGAAAGCATTTTGCAAAATTCTAAAAAATTGCATGATAAAAACACTCAATAAACTAGGAACAGAAGGGAACTTCCTTGACCTGACGAAAGGCATCAATAAAAAACAAAAGCTGACATCATACTTAATTGTAAAAGAACAAAAGCTTTCCCAAGAATGTCTGCTCTTGCCACTTTCATTCAACATTGTACCAAAGGTTCCAGCCAGAGCAATTAGGCAAGAAAAAGAAATACAAAGGTATCCATATTAGAGACTAAGAAAGAAGTAAAACTATTGCTACTTGCCAATGACATGATTTTGTACACAGAAAATCCTAAAGAACACACACACACACACACACACACACACACACACACACACCCCGGAATAAACAACTTCAGTAAGGTTGCAGGATAAAAGACCAATACACAATTGTATTTTTATATACCTGCAATGAACAATCCAAAAATAAAATTAAGAAAACAATTCCATTTGAAACAGGAAGTGGCATCACCAGCATCAAGTAAGGACGGAGAGATGTCTCAGGATTAAGGAAAGTGGATAAAGAATGAAGTAGTTGTCTAAAGAGAAGGCAAGCAGGAGACTGGGAAAAGTAGGGTGATTGCCAGGGAGTTTTAAGAAGCTTGAAGAAGTTAAGAGACAAGAAACTCAAGTTTATGAAGAAGTGTAAGAAAGGAAAAAAGTTATTCTAAATCAATTAGCACTTATTGGGGATGCGGTATGAGCCAGAAAACGTGCTTGCGGTTTATGAAAGCCTGTCACTGAGCCCTCTCCATGCCTGATCGCTTTTGCTCCTCCCATCTCAGAGGTGAAGACACTGAGGTGCAGAGCAGGCAAGCAGTTTGCCCAGGAGTACAGGACTCCTAAGCCTGGAGCTAGGTCCAGGAGGGGCGCTCTCCCCAGATGTCCTGTTCTCACGGTTGGCCATGGCCAAGGCTTTCCTGTAGCTTCACAAAATGAACGCCCAGCTCCTTGAGGGCGGTGGGAAGCCTCTGGCTGCCCACCGCTGCATGGACGGTTAGGTACACTCATCTCCTGCCTCCCCCGTCTCTTCCGGCATGCGGAGAGGATCCATGGTAACTGCATTCCTTGACGCAGTTATTGCTGATGCAAATAACCACTTTCTTTATTTTATCCATAAATTCACTTCCTAATAACAATCAGGCATGCCAGGGCTTTGGCCTCATGCCTTATTACACCACCTGAGGAGTGAGATAATCACCCAGAAATGTACTGCCTGTTGTGCATTTTATTACTTGAATACAAAGCGATTCAATTCAAGAAACACTTAGTTGAAGACGACATGAAAAAAATAATAATCATATGAAAAGTAATTCCTCCCAGTGCTACTAAGTACGCTGCAGGGAATAATCCTCTTCCAGCGGGAGGACGGCCTGGATGACCTGTTGGGTCTTCTCCAGTTCTAATTTCTACCAATTGCAGAATCATAAAAGCTGGTGAGACTTCAATTACAATATGAATATTCCAAAAAGCCAAATCTGGATAGTTCTGAAAATGGAGCCTATTTGGGTGTTCGTCCCAAACGTCCTTGGTGTACGCATTTTCCAAGCAACTCTGCTCTCACCGGCTCACTCCTCAGCAGACGTTGCCGGCCACACACTGGCGAGGGAGAGGAATGGAAAGAGACGTAGGACCCACTCGACCCTCCAGCAGCTCACCATCTAATCGGGGCTGAAAGAACACGGCGGCACGCTTTCAAAGAACAGGAAGAAGGTACCCACACAGCATCTCCGACTGCACTGACACAGCCTGTAGAAGCTCGGTGACACCAGCCTTCCCGGGGCTGAAGAGCGTGGGAGCCCAATCACCCTATCTCGGGGGTCAGATGGAGGACCTGTCCCAAGAGATGTCATCACCAGTTTATCTCAAGAGGGAAAAGGCTAATCCATCTGTTGATTCCTCGAGCAGAAATAAGGGGGATTGTCATTGTTATTAATACTATTATTTTAAAAATGCATTTATTTTTTCTTTTTAAAAATTAGTTTTAAAAGGCTGTCGAAGCAGGCAAGGAGCTTCAAAACAGTGGTCTCAAAATGGGGCCCTGAACCAGGAACCTCGGCATCACCTGCGAATTTTTTAGAAATGCAAATTCCCAGGCCCCACCCAGACCAACCAATCAGAAATTCTGGGGGTGGGGCCCAGCCATCTGCGTTTTAACAAGGGGAGACCACTACTGTAGAAGAACCTGAACTTGACTTATAAGGATGAGTCCACGCGTAAAGTTCCCTGCTTGATATCAAAATGAAGACCAACAAATGTCACATTTAAATGATTCTACTAGATCCTCCTAGCAATAACTGAGCACCTACTTTGCTGGCCATTAGTTAGTCGGCAACCTTGTGACAATCTTGTGAGTTAGATACCATTACCCATGTTTTTAGAAGTGGAGAAATTAAACCCCAGGGAGAAAAGACAGATTTACTCATGTGGCCAAGACCCAAACTCTCCTAAATTTAATCCCATGCTTTTTGCCCAGCTGTGCCAGGATAGCGCGTGTGTATGTGCGTGTGTGTGTGTGTATGCACGCGTGCACACACACACGCACACTCACACAGATGCATGAGAGTGATTTCTGTGCATTCTCAGATAAACACACTACTAACAGTGAAGTTCGCATATACTGATAGAGTAATAAGAAAATCTGTCAATTCTCAAGAACGTACCTTGCGTTTGTAGAACAGCCTAACGATTCTACAACGTACTCAAAAAAAAAAAAAAACATGTAGAAAACTAAAAGCAAGTCATCTACATAAATAGCTGATCAAATATTAGGATTCAGGGTTTGTGCCACCAATACTGCGAGCCCAGCCCTGCCTCCCCCATCCCAGCCTCATACTCCCTTAATGTCTTAGAACTGGCTGGCAACCCCAGTCTACCGTTTTAAACATAGGAATTAGAAGAACACAGGTTGATTTACAAATATATTCCAAATGATAGAGAATTGTAAAAAACACTTTAGCCAGTCATCTGAATTTAATTTAGCAGAAAAATCTGTGGTTATAAGCTGACCTTGGAAAGCACGTGGCTTACAAACACAGCAGCCCCATGTGTCTAAGCCATAGCCTTCCTCCACCAATAGCCGGCCCTGCGTCAGGAGTCAGGGTCTCCTCCACACAGGCTGTCACCTTCCTCCCAAACCTCATTATTAAAATACCTCCTCTTGCAGCATATATTTCAAGTCTAGCCACACACACACACACACACACACACACACACACACACACACAATCTCAGAAATCAAACTCCGAATATAACACAAACCCTCCAAAGTTAATATACTTTAATGGAATAGTATCTCACTGTCATAAATAACTCTAAGGACTATGTCGAAACACAAAAATGTGTTTAGGAAAAAGTGTAGAGAAAAAGTACAATAGGGGAAATACTATGAATGCAATGACACAAACATGTTTTCCCACATGGACAGGGTGTAGAAGATGTGACAGAAATAACTATGCTGGGATGATGGGGACATCGATCTTTTTTATTTTAAATGTTCTTTAATAAACGCATCACAGCACGCTAGCTATAAGATGCCTAAGCAGGCAGCAGTTACCTGGCTCCTGCCTGCCTCTCCCTTCCCACCTCGTCACTCTCCCACGACCCATGGCTCTCTCTGCCTGGATCTCCCACGTCTCTGCCTTCCCCCGACCCCTCGCCTGCCTAACGCCTCTCCCCTTCAGACCCAGGCGTGACCTTAGGGAGGTCTCCCTCATCACCCTGTCTACATCCTCCTTGTAGAGTCTCTCGTCACAGCCTGTCATCCCCTGTACTGCACTTATCACAACTGGTAATTATACTTTTATCTGGGAAATTAGAAACTTGATTATAAGCTCCATGAAATGTAACGTTTTTATACCACGTACCCCCCACCCAAGAATATCCAGCACATAACTGACACTCCAAAAGTAGTTATTAAATTAATGAATGATTTTCACAGCCCTGTCATTCAAACAGCACTCCCTTCCCAACACGCGCACACGCACACACATGCACACACACGCACGCGCACACACATACACGCACGCACACACACGCACACACACACACATGCGCACACGCTTTCCACTCCTGGACCTTGTTTAGGATCCTCCCTCTTTCCCACCATCCAAGGCAGAAGTTTCAGCGCCATCCATGATTTGTCACTCTCCTCCATGCTGAGAACAAGTGACCGGCATCAGAAAGGGCTTCTGACCTAACACCCATGACACTTAGGGTCGTCCAATGGCTGTCTTCCGTGTTAGACCATTAATGTCATGAGAGCAGGGACCATAACAGATAATAACGGTCCAAAAAATAACCAATGCTGAGCTTGACTGAGCATTACAGTTTTGTGATAATGTGATCCGCCTAAATGCCCGGCTGCCCCGAATACGACCCTAAAGAAAAAGCTGATGTTGTTTTGTCTGTAATGTGTTTTCCCTTTCACGGCCACAAAACTCTAATTTCAGAAAGTGTCTCAGAAATTCTCTCTTACCAAACAAACATTTTCAGACTCACGGCCACGACTAACGCAATGACAGATGTGGCAACAGGCCATGGAAAAACAAGTCGCGTCCGGAAAACCTGACCACAGGTCGGCTGTCAAACAGTCATCCCCATCTCAGAAACTGTTTGACTGGCAGCCTCTGGAAACGGAAGAGCTGCAACCCGTCGCGTTCTCCCATGCCCAGGTGCTGGACAAACCCCATTTATACTGCAGCCAGGCCCCTGCAAGTCCCCTGCTCTGGGAAGGGAAGTTGCAAAGGTTCCCAGCCTCGGAGTCCAGAGGGAAAGGCTTGCCGCTGCTGCCCCCTATAGCCAGGATATGACTCGGCGACAAGAACACCAGCTGAGCCCAGCGCGCCGGGGGGCCCTACAGTGTGACGCAGGCTGAGTCATGTTCTCAGTGCACTGTGACTGTCTGACATTTGCAGTCAGCCTTGAGTATCAAATTAAGGACACTCACCTTTAAAATGGATAAGCCAATGCTTGTTGCTATGATAGAGATGTAAGCTCCTAGACAATTCTGGCACAAAAATCAGCATTGAGTACATGTTGGTTGCATGAACGGCTAACACGACCAGACAGGAGTGATAACGGTGTCATTATCGACTTTTAAAGCACTTTCCTCTCGAGGCCTTACACACAGCGCAAGACACGCGTGTGTCCTGAACTCGACGCAATCTCCTCACCCGTCGGCTGACCCAGGCGTTCGGGAAAGGGCGGCGTCTCACCTGGCCTTGGGACTGCCTGATTTGGTGCTGTTGACAGCTGTTTTGGTGCTATTTCGTTTCATTTCCTTCAAGAAAAACTATTTCTGAATTTGTGTATTCTGAAAAATAAGAGAGCAATGGGGTTAGCACAGATTGGCAGACAGATTTCTTTATTTAGTTTATCAAGCCACAAGAACAGAGCCTTCGGGTCTACAAGATAATCGGGTGCTTCTGCCAGCCACTAAATAATGTCGAAAACCTCAGACGGGTCCTCTACAAGCACGTCACACTAAATTTAGGTCTCCCAGGTGGAGACAGTTCGTGTCAACACTGTATGAGCACACACACACACACACACACACACACACACACACACACACAGATACACATACACCCCGCCCCCCGTGGTCTCCTCTATTTTCCTCACATCAGCCAGAATAATCATTTTTAAATGCTGATCTCCTCACGTTACTTCCTTGCTTTACAAATTCCAATTGCTTCCTACTGCCCTGGAATAAAGACCAGAGTCCTCAGTGGTGTCCCAGGCCATGCGGGACGGGCCCCCGCCTGCTTCTTCAGCTGTCTCCTCCTCCATGCCTCGCCGTAGTGGCCCTTGGCAGTCTCTCGCATGTGGCCTGACCACATGAAAGCTTCTTCCACATGCTGCAGTGGTCTGCCTCGACCCCTCAAGCTTCTCCGCACTCTGCCTAATAATGCCCCTTGTCCCAGAGATCAGTGTTTCTCAAACTTGAGTGTCCTTCAGCGTCGCCCGGAGGGTTCGTCAGAAACCAGCTAGATCCAGGGTGGGTGGGAGTTGGGTGTGGGGTGAGGCCTGAGACTCTGCCTTGTGGACAAGTTCCTGAGAACCACTGTCACACATCTCGGTTTACATGTCACTTCTTCAGGGAGCCTACCTTGACATGCTCACACTAGGTGGACCCCATTACACACTTCCACAAGGACCTCTGTTGTCCCTCAAGCCCTTAGCCAAGTTTGTATCTATTTGTATGAGTATTCAATTAATGCTTGTCTCTAGGCGTCCCCAGATTCCAGGCCACAGACTAGTGTTCAGAGGTGTTCCAAACTTACTGAGTGAATGAATGAATTTGCTTCCACTCCTGAACCTTGATAGGGTAGAAATCCCAGCCCTTGTTCTCCGCTTCTCTCTTACACAGTCCGCAAGTACGTGGAGAATACCCCTTAAATCTCTCCCCGCCTCCTCCATCCCTAAGTTCCCTGCCCCTGATCGTCCTCATGCGTCTAGATTAAGAAATGGCCCCCTAAACCGCTTCCGGGCCTCTGACTTCTCTCCCTGATCCATCCTCCTCAGCTGCCAGGATTTATCATTCTAAAGCACAGATACAGTCATGTTATTTCCCTGGCTTAAAAACATGCAATGCGAAACTATACATGTGTTAGAATTTCATAGAACTCTGAAGCAAGAAAAAAATGAGTGCATGTCAAAACTGGTGAAATCTGATAATGTCTGTAGCTTAGCTACCAGCACTGTGAAATGGTTCTGATCATCATACTATGGTTATTCCGTAAGACGGGAGAAGCTGAAGGCCCACAGGAACTTTCTGTCCTTTTCTACAACTTTTTTATAAATCTAAAATTCTTTTCTTTTTTTTTTTAATGTTTAAAAAATCATGCAATACTCCTTCAGGGCATAAAGTCATTCACGTCATTAATCACCTGACCCAGGTGACTCTTCCAGGTACTGTGGCTCCGTGCAGGCTGCACGTTCACATGGTACTCCGGACAGACCACATGGTTCCTCACCTCTGTGTTTTAGTTCATGCTTTTGCTAGAACTTCCTTCCTCTTTTCCCACCTGGGGCACTTGAATTCATCTTTCAAGACCGAGGGCATAGCTCTCCCTTCGTGAGGCCTTCCTATCCTCCTTAAACGAAACCAACCACGCCTTTGCAGAGAACTTGGTCTCATAGCTTTGTTTTGCCAACTATTTCATTACAAAAGAGAAGGACAAAAAGGTCAAAGCTACCGTAACTCTATTATTTTGCTGTGGGGCTGGTGGGGGGTGGGAGTCGGGGGGACATAAAGTATAAAGTCAAAGTATTAATACTTCCCAGTCCATCTCCCTCGTCCTACCTCTATTTCCACTTTGATTCTCTGCTTCTAGAATTTTCCCTTGGCTGTTTATCTGTGGCCCCTGCTAGTCAGTGAGCCCCTCGAGTGGAAAGAATCAGCAACACTCATCTTTCTGTACACAGCGCCTGCTGCTCGGCCTGGCGCACGGTGAGCAGTCTGCTGGTCTTCGCTCTTTGTGGACCACAGTCATCAACACCTAATACTGTGAGGACGAGAAGCCGGCACTAATTTTATCCTCGTTCTGAAAGCTAAACAATGTTCTGAACACAAGCAAGGTCATTCTTAGCTTTACATCATGCTCAGCTTAGGTTTTCTAAATAAAGAGAACGTAAGACGTCCATGAACATGTTTACTTCAGAACTTGGCAAAGTAGAAATTAGCAAGAATGATAAAACCAATGTCCCCCAAACGAGCACCAAGTCACAGACTATCAAATACACTTCTTAACCACGGGCAGAAACACAATTAGGCTATTTCACTGACATATTTCTTCGTCAGATAAGTATTGATGTCCAGTTTTTAACAGATGCTATTTATATCCGAATCATAACAAAAGTGCCATCCATCTGCCTTGGCTTCCAGAGAAAACATAATTCAACACGAGAGTAAAAAATGTGCACAGCCAAACAGAAATGGCATCAGAAACGAAAATTGTTGGAACTGGTATCGTGGGGGGAAAATTATCATTTGACTAAACTGGAAAAAGTTGCAAGCAACACAAAAGATTTTGGCAGTTAAATCCAAATACTTGGGAAAAATCTTCTTGTCTATTCTGATACCAAATGGACATTTTGTTATATTTTGGGACACGCACCCTATAAAGTTCCCTTTTTAGCCTTCCACACGCTCACTCAGTCATTTATTGAGCATCTACAGTGGGAAAAAGAAAGGGCTTAGAATCAAGAAGGTACAGAGTTAGACTGGTTCCACTACCTTCTGTGCTAACTTGCAAGTTAATTAACCTCCTCCTGACCTGGTTTGCTCATTTGCAAAATGGAAATAATCTTTCTTTTAAAAGCAAGTATTCTTAACCTGGCATCTAGGGACGAAGTCCATGTGTCTTCTTCCATAGGTCTTTAAACTCTTTGAGATGAAATGCAAAATTGTGTGTGAGGTGATTTTTCCAGAGAGAGAATATGCTGCTTTCACCGGCTTCTCAAGGGGTAAGTGACACAAAACAGTTAAATGCCACATCCTAGGCTCGAAGGATCCTAGGTAATGTATTTAAACAGCCAGACACACAGTGGGCTATGTGAATTATTTGGTAGCTGCTATTAATTTTAGGTCCTGGGAAAGTACAGAAAGATAAATCTGACAGAGCCCAGGGCAGAAGGCAGGTAGATGGTTACAGCATAAGGTATTGGGTGTCATCACAGGATAACAGAGGAGGGCAAACCAGAGTCAGTGCAGAAAAACCCCAGCAGGAGACAGTGACAAAGTGGAGGCACCAGGTGCACCAGGACAGTGATGTTACCGTCAATGCGGTGTCCTCGATGCCTAGACAGGGCTTGGCATATGGCAGGTGCTCAGTGAATAACTGGTAGGTAAATAAGCAAACGAGTGAATGGAACTGACCCAGGGCACAGGATAACATCATCTAGAACTCCCGGGGGAAAACAAAATTCAGAAGGTGTTAGTAAAAAACTATCACTATTCAAAATCGCTCACTTCAAAAAATTCCATACAAATGCAATAGTCCACGTTCTCTCTCGAAATGGTGCAGACGCTGAGCCTTCACCTTCGTCCTTTAGCAGTAATCAGTCCCTCCCCAGCTTCGTGATGAACCCCGGGAAAAGTGTCTTTTAGATCCAGGTGTTAGAAAAGCTTTTTTTCCCCAGACTTAAAATGCCTTATTTGCCTGGACAAAATGAACTTCCTTTTTTTTCTTTTTTAAAAAAATTTTTTTCCTTGTGTTCAAGAAGCTCCCAGCTAAATTAATCTAGCTAAAGCTCCCACTATATTAAGCATTATGGACGATCTGAGTATTCTTTCATCCTAATGTTACTTTCCTATTTGATCTGTATTTTTCATGAACCTGATTTACATGTTTCTGTTTTACCATTTTATATGTATTCTTACGTCACCTCAAGGCTTTTGTGGGACGTCCAGAGTGTACACATTTCGAGAGTGCTGGAACACTAGTCAAGAACACAGGTTCTATTACGAGGCAGTCATGGAGTAGAAGCCACTCTACCATTGTGGCTTCTAGCCACACTCTGCCTTGAAGCCACTTAGCGGCTCTGCGTCCCTGTTGCCTCATCTATAAAAAGGGAATAGTATCTGTACTTTTTCATAAGCAGCTGGTGAGGACTCAGTTTAAAAAATGTGAGGCCCCAGTCCACGGCCATGCCACCCTGAACAAGCCCGATCCCGTCTGATTTCGAAAGCTAAGAAGGGTCGAGCCTGGTTAGTACTTAGATGGGAGATCACCTAAGAAGACCAGGTGCTGTAGGCGTTAAAAAAAATAATAATAAAAATTGAAAAAAAAAATTAAAATAAAATAAAATAAAATAAAAAATAAGGGATTGTAAGCTGACAAGGTCCTTGCAATCTGTGAGGTCAACCAAGGGTTGCCTCGTCTAAAAATAAATAAATAAATAGTAATTATAGAAAAAAAATGCGAGGCCCCAAACGTGGAACATCGTTGAGTGCTCAGTATTAGCTGGCAGTAACGGTCCTAGCTGTGGCACCAGACGCAGTGAAACTGCAGGCAAACGGATGGAGAGCAAAAATAACAATGCCACCTGAAACGACGCAAACAGAACGAAATAGCAGTAAAAGGTCAACGCTGAGAGAAAAAAGTGGAAACAAGGCTCGTTAGTACTGAAAGAGTATCGCATGCATATGTTGTCTCTAGTCACAGAGTTTTCTCAAATATCTCCCTTCCCTTTACATTTGCTCTTCTAAATGGTGTGGATATCCCGGATAGCACTGGGTTGAAAGTGAATTAATATTTAAATATTATGAGAATGCAATCTATATAATTGTGCGATTTATATAATTAGATAAATACGCTTTAGAACAGGTCATCTCACTTGTGGTATTTCAAAGAAGAAAGAGACTTCTGTCTCACTCGGTTTCTCGTCTATACGATCTAGCTTATTTTTCCAGCCTGGCAGGGGAAGGAAGGAGTCATCCAAGAAAACCTTCGGTGACTCTCACCGTCTACTAACCTTAAACGATCACTCTCGGTACACACCTGTAAAGAAGCTTTATTAAAGCGATTGTCTTGTTAACAGCCAGTGGCCTCCCAGGAGATTCCTGCTCTGGGCAGGCACTCGACTACGGACCATCCTTCTGGAGGTGGTTCTGTCTCCATGTGCCAGTCAGCTGTGAGAATCACAGCATGAGCAAAGAGGAGGATGGCTGGAAAAGAGCAAAAAAAAAAAAAAAAAAAAAGGCAGACAAGATTGGAGAGCAAACTGAAAGTCTCCGGTAAGCATTGCTTGACAAATATTTACCAGCACCTACTGTGAGCCAGGCACTAAAATGAAGGCAGAGAGAAAGGGGAAGTGTGGGTAACCGAAATAAAACCTGTGCCCTCCTAAAGCTTGCAACGAGGTTGCATGGGAGGCAAATATTTTCACAGATAATCAAAGGGCCCGTGCTCGATTCGCTTTCGAATTCCCAGAATTTAGCCAAGTAAATGTTTGTTGGATTGAAGACAATGAACAAAAGAGATGAAGGAACTACAGTAGGTCATAGTCGAAATATTTTTTTGCAGCGTTTCTGTAAAACCAGCCACTTAGGGGTGCATATAACTTAAGAAACGGTATTAAATCGCTCTTCTTGAAAGTGAAGTGGTGATTTACCCACGGTCTGAAATAAGCTCTGGGCGACTGGACATTTCACAAAACTTCTGAGGGAGGCGGGGATAACTCTGTGCCGTCTGAGGAAGAAGAATGTGCTGCTAGAAAGTGCAGAGACCTTGACATGAGACAGAAGTGCTGAGTTTGAATTCTGACTCTGCACCTTCCTAGGTGTGTGATTTTGGACAATCCCCTTCATCCCGTAGGGTTCAAGTCCTCATCTGCAAGGTGGAGTTAAATGATATTCATAAGATTACTGTGGGGGCAAATGAAATAAGAGACAGGAAACGTTTCTTAAATCGGAGTGACTGAAGGCATTACCACACATTTCCCATGGGACCCTCAGAGCTCCAGGGAGAAAAATGTCACCACGTTGTTCGTTTGCAGTCTGTCTTCCCCAAATATCACGTCATCTCCATGGGAACAGGACCTTATTATTCACCGCAGTAGCCCCAGAGCCTACAACGGCGCCTGGCACACGCACGCGATGAACGAGAAAACGCGTCACCGGCCTGACACCGGGGATCAGGAGGGGAAGCTCCGTGTCCCGGTGGGCGGCCGCCGCCTCAGGGCTGTGGGACCTTCCGAGCTGCCCGCCGCTAGGGCCTTCCTCCACCCCGTCGGCTCGCGCCCGCGGTCCCGGCGCCGAGGCCGCGCCGCCTTACCCGTGCCCCTTCCTTTTCTCCGCCTCGTGGCGCCACACCCGCGCGCGGGGACCTGCAGGCCACCGGGCCGCGGAGGCCCGGCCCACTCGGCGTCTCTAGGACGCCGTTGCCCGAGCGACGATGGCACTCGCTGATTGGAGGATGTGTCTCCGCACGAGGCAAGAAGCCAAGCTCCGATTGGCCAAGTCGACTGCGGGTGCGGGGGGCGTGGCCAGGCCGCGCCGGGGGCTCCGCCCCCACGGAAGGAACTTCCTCAGGGAGTCCTGTCCCGAGGGAGCGGGAATTTGTCCTGAAGGCGTGTGTCACGGAATCGGGGTTCTGGGAAGCGGCCTTAGCGCGAGCTGGCGGTTGGACTGGTCGCACCAAACCGCTGGGAGCCGCGTGGTCTGGGGGAAGCCAGTCCTCTCCGGAGGAGCGACCACGCGTCCCCACTCCGGCCGGCTTCTGGACGGGGGAGCAACGCGTCTAAAGCCGGACCACTCCCTACGCCCTTCCAAATGTTAGCACTTGTAGCTACTGGGATTGTCGAACTCACCGGCGTGTCCAGTCGTGTCCTGCTGGCCTCGTCCAGGAGACCGAGAGCCCCGTGGAGAGGGGACCAGCTTGCTTCGCCCGCTGCTGTCGCCTTAGCTCCGACCGCTTAGGGGGCGTTCGGTAGGTAGTCGCCAAATGAGCCGGTTCTTGCCCACACTCGGAAGCCAAGTGGAAGCTCGATGAGTCGTGTTGATAATAATAATAATAAGAGCAAGAGCCGCTGGCCCTTAGGGACCACTTCCCTTTGCTAGGCACCCATCTATGTTACTTGTCATTCGATCTGCTTTGAGCTTGATAACAGCCCAATGAGGTAGGTGCTATGGTTACTCCCACTTTGCAGATGGGAAACCGAGGCACGGAGGGGGATCCATGGACACACAGCTAGTCAAAGGCAGAACCAGAATCAGAACCCACGCAGGTTAGGTCCCAAGTCCATGCTCTATATCACCCCGTGTACCACTGACTTGTGGGAGAGAGGCAGTAACCCAGGGGCCAGTCCTTCACGGGTGTCCCGAATCGCATCTCCATTTGCCTTCTCTTGGATTTCATTGCTTAGGTCAGCAGTTCTCAAAGCGTGGTCTGGGAACCCCTGGGGGTCCTGAGACCCTTTCAGAGAATCCATAATCATCAAAACTTTTATAGTTGACACTAAGATGTTACTTGCATTTTCACTCTTATTTTCTAAGGAGTGTACAGTAGGGATTTCTGAAGCTACGATACGTCATGTGTGATACTGCAACAGATTGAATACAAAAGATAGGAGAATCCAGCTGTCTTCCCTTAAGCAAACATTAAAGAGATTTTCAAAAATATAAAACTGCCTTTTCATTAGTTTTTATTTGGGAAAGTATTTTTCATAAAAAAGTTAACATGTAAGGGGTTTATTGTTATTTTAAATGAATTAGTAAATGTTTAAAAATTTTCTTATCAGTTTTACTTTCTAAAATGGTAAATATTGATAGATATAACCCACAAAAACAAAAGCTCTTTGGGACCCTCAATATTTTCCAAGAGCGCAAATGGATCCTGAGACCAAAAGTGCTCAGCTCAATTGCCTCTCTCTCATGATAGCCAACAATCTCATTCCCTCTCCCTCTCTTGCTCTCTCCCCCACCCTCCCTCCCTCCTTCTATCCCTCTAAAAACATACTCTAGGATCTCACATCTTTAAAACTATTATTTTTTAGTACCCACCCCATTTCTCTGCTCCCTTATAACCACTTCTCAGTAGAGTTGTCTATACATGCTGTCTCTGTTTCTGTAATCATTCCCTCTCGATCAGTCTTACCAGAGGCTTGGCTCCATTATTCTTTGGTCAATTTTCATAAATCTTTCACTTATACTTGACTTTAGCTTACTCGACCTCTCAGCAGCAGTCAACCCAGTGGATCATTCCCTCCTACCTGAAACTCATTCTTCTCAGCTTAATATCGGACAATCCTGGGGATCATCCTAAATCACCAACTATCCAATTCTCAGGCCCCACTGGTCATTCTCCCCCTCTGTATGGCCTTTGGACATTAGGGTCTCTCTGACTGACCTAGATAGTGCTCTTATGCTTAATTTCAGCTTTGACCCGTCCACGGGTGTGTATCAGAGACCCCTTGGACTTCAGCCACCCACACAGCCCTTGGTCCGCTGACCTCCCTCACTCTGACCCATTTCAATAAGTGGCACCACTTAACCTAGGAAACCTTGTTATTATCCTGTAACGATCGTTGTGCCGTCCTCAACATCCAGTCCTTCAGTGAGTCCTGTTGGTTCCAACGCCAGAGGACGTACCCTGTAACCTCACCCATTCTCTCCAGCCTCACCCGCGGCCCCTTGCCTCATGAGGACAAAACGTGGACAGAGTCTGTAACCGCGGTGTTGGAGGGAAAGGCACCGCAGGGGCAGCAGGCTCAGCACTGGCTAGCTTAAATCACTTCAGCAAGTCCTTTACCCTCTGTAGGCATTGGCTAACCCTGGGAGAGGCAGTCACTCCAGTGTTAGCAAGGCCTCAAGGTGACAAAGCATCAGGAAATATGGAAAATAAAAATCATGGGAAATACGAGTGGTTTCTCCATTCATCTGCTGCTAGATGGGTGTGTGGGTTGTTTCTACCTTTCCGCTACTATGAATAATGCCACTGGGAACACTGGAGTACACAGTATCCAAATCCCTCTCTTCATTTTGGGGGAATATAGGAGTGGAATTTTTGTTGCTGTTATTGTTATTTGTTCCTTCAGTTTTCGGGAGAAATGACACAGGAAACTGTATTTAGTGTGAGTCTGCTGGCGATGAATCAATTCCGTTTTTATTTATCTGAAAATGTGTTTATTTGTTTTCACTCTAAAGGATATTTTCCCCGAGTATAGAACTCCAGGTTTGCAGTTATTTTTTGTTCAGCATCTTAAAGATGCCGTTGGGTTATGTTCTGGCTTCCATCATTTCTGTTGCAGTGTTGGCCGTCTGTGTGATTGTTATGCCTTTGAAAGCAACGTGTCTGTCTTTTCTCTGGAAATTTTTAAGGTGTGCCTCGGTGTGGTTTTCTTTGTCTTTATCCTGCTTCGATTTTGTAGCATATCTTGAATCTGTGCCTTAATGTCTTTCATTGGTTTTGGAAAATTTTCAGCCAGTATCTCTTCAGATATTGTTCTGCCCATTTTCCCTTCTCCTTCCGTGATGCTGAGCCAGAGGCACCTACTCACATAAAACTAAGATAACTGTTTTTAAAAATACATTCTGTGGCTATCTGTTTGTAATCTCTAGGATTATCTCATTGTATTATTGTACTTTAGAAGACCTACTTTAAATAACAGCGAACACATCCAGCACTAAAAAATGTAATGACACGATACCAGGAATTTACTAAATCTGTCTTAAATTTTTCTCTCCCCCATTACATCAAGGGTCTTCTTGTTCGAAACCAGCAATAGTTGGGGTAATTCGTTGTTCAGAATAAAGTAACCGAGATAACAAACTGCTACATGAGAGTCTTTGCAAGAATTCTTTTTAGTAACACTTTTTCTGAGGGAAAATTGTAGGTGAAAAACCCTAACAGTTGGCTGTGTGAGCAAACATGGGATTTAATAAATGTCTTTTGAACCGACCTGAACTCAACAGTGAAGCAATTAAAGCGTATGATTGAGTCAACAAAACCCAGAATTGGGAAACTAAAAATACATGCGTATTTCCTTAAACACAAGGATTTCCCCCATGTATTTAAATGACTGGTGATTAGATCGGTCTGTCATGAGATTTTGTCATTAATTCTTTATTTTTTTTCCCTGAAGAGCACCTTTACTCCAAAGTGTTTTCCCTGCTCCTAGAAATTTATCACTTGCGTGTGAAGAGTTAGATTTTTTTAAAAAAAAAAAAAAACCTAAATTTACCTTTTTGTGTATTGTCCTGACAGCCCATAAGTCTATTAGATTAGTTTTGCTCTCTGTTCAAATGGACCAGAGATCTGTCAGGTGACAGTGGCCCCAAAGAGGAGTTTGAAGAGGGAGACTGTTGTCTCCCTTGACCAAACCTTCTGAGAACTGACGGTTCCCTTGGCTGCCCCATAGTGAATCTACTCTCAATAGGGCTGAACCCATTACCTTGTCCACGGTACCATTCGGCATCACTGAAACCAGGAAAACTCACTGCCCCAGAAATTGTTATAGCCTCTGCTACTTACACCCGTTGCAGGAATCTGCTGCTCAAAACCTCTGATGATGATCTAAAGATGCAAGCCATGGGAAGTTGGGGGAAATATTTTTACCCTTATGATGTCCAAGAGACAGCTCATTCCCTCCGTAATCAGGTAGAAGAAACTCGGGGATCGTGGAGAGCTGTGTCCCACCCTCCACGTTTTGAGTACTTATACCACAGTCTGTACACCTAGGAGACTGGGGTCTAGAGTCAAGCCTGCAATTATATCACAGTAATCAATAATGGTGTTATACATGGAAATTATGCCTCCATGTGAAGAAACAGACAGCAGGAACTGATTAACCCCTAAAAAGTTAAGTACTGTTTTCGGCCTCGTCTATTAAAAAAAGACTGAACGGAGAACACACACACGACACAGACGCATATGCATCTAAACAGAAGCTGAGAATATCCTGGAAATCTGCTAGGTGAGATTTCTCTGAGTGCTGTCTTTTTGGTGGCCTCATAAAATGGAGACTCTGTGAGGCCGTCTTAGGAGAAAACAAAATTTAAATAAATGAGATATAAGTAGCTCTTTTGGAAAAGCTCCCGTGGCTATTTTTTCTTTACTAAAATAGATGCTTTTGTTCTCAGATAGTTACCTTGACAGATGACACAGCTGCTCGTTTTAGTTCAATCAGCCAAAATCTAACTTGCACATTTTAACACTGTCACTACAAACAATTGATTATCATTTGTAAACAGTGCCATTTTCGTACCTCATCTGGGATCACGCATTGAGAGCCTCTGCACCGGCTCAACGCACGCAGCACCTT